AGCAGGAAAGTCTGCTTCTAACAGGTTAAACTACAAGATCATCTGACCCTTCTTGAAGGACACTATAAACACTTAGTTCTTTGCTGGGCATTTCTCCCATAAATGTTGTCAGCACTTTGATTCAATTTCAGATGGATGTACACTTGCATTTTAAACATGTGAACTGTCTTTTCAGAACATAAAAAAGACTGAAGGTTTTAGAGCTGTGGCCTGTTACCTGCAACAATATTAAACCCTGTTTTAGGCACTGACTGGAAGGACAGAAACTTCCCATTTGGCATTTACATTTAACTATTACAGGTGAAAAAGTTGGCTAATTAGGCAAGTGTGGATGGTTGGCTACTCCAGTGCTTTGAGCTCATAAACATGTCTGAGTCTGTAGCCAACACATTCAATCTGCAGCAGTCTTAGATAATTCTGCTATGATTTATGTGTCCCATGTAGCAGCTCCCTTGGTTATTACGGCAAATACTCATCATTTTATTGAACCACTGAATAGTCATGAAGGATCTATAAAAATGGACAGAGTGCTAATGAGAGCCTCCTGGGCAAGCTTCACTTATGCAAAAGGCTTGTTCTATTTTTTTAAATCTTGTCTCCACTTTCCCTTCAGTTGGAACCATTCAGGATTGTAATTAGAGCTGTGCAAACCCTCCAGGGCTTGACTGGCGAGGGTCTTTGCAAAGTCAACTTTCCATAGTATAGTCTGCAAGAGGTCAGAAGGAAAGACAGCTCTTCATGTTTACCTGAATGCTTGAGTCAGGCCATTTCAATTACCAAGAGACCTTCCCATCCAAACACCCCAGTTTATTCCCACAGCTCAGCTTTAAACATTGTGAATATTGGGATCTTATAACAGTGGGCCAGTTGACCCCTCTGGCCCTTCTACTGCTTCTTGGGCCTGTTTTCCCATCATCCCCACAATTATCCTCAGGGTCATTATCAGCACCTAATCCTCACAATTTTCAGCTGCCTCTTGACTCTGCAAGAAATCCCACACCCAAAAGATTTTGGAAAAAGACCTCTGCAGCTCTATGTTAACCCTGGGTAGCTTCAAACCACAGTTTAACATGCTTAATACAGAGTTTTCAGAGTGGAAAATGTATAATTTCCATGTTACACTGTACTCTGAGCTTTCAGCATGTAGCATCTAAAGATGGTAAAACATTTTGCAAAGATGAGTCAGCATTATGAGCCAACAGTATCGAAACATACAGGTAATACAGTCATGGTAAGGATGTGTCTTATGTGCTGGAGAAAACTTCTCTTGATCTCTTGTAAAAATGAGTATCCCCAAAGTTCTTGAGGACTACACATGCATTGTTCTCAGTCTTAAATTGTATACTTTAAACAACATAATCACTATAGTTTTCAAATCAAAGACATAAATGTTTCAGCACACTGCATTTAATGCAGAGATTGTCATGAAAAATAAAATCTTTACAGTTTTGGCTAATTAACGTTACTTGTTAGAGAGAATACAATAGTGAGGTTAGTTACTTGCAAATGGCAGTTGTAAAGATTTTAAGGAAGACGAGATCACAGTATAAAGGTGCCAAGTGGAATTGTTTTGTTTTCTTTGTTGTATTTTTGTCTAACAAATTAGAAATGTGATTCTCTTTATTCAACAGTTCTTCTGATGCATTATTCAAATTCCTCTGTTGTGACTAAAATATTCTTTCCTGTTTCTATTTGTGCTTTTTAGCCCTTTAGATAAAACACAGCTGAGGTGGAGTGAACTGGTTTCTACACCTTGTGTATCAAACAGAATTGTTTACTGGACTCCAATCAGCTACAAATGTGCAAATACACTGAAGTCAATTGAGTTGCACAGCTATTGCTAAGGGAGTAATTTGGCCTGAGGAATCCTTATTACTGGTTGTGATGCATGAGATGGAAAGAATACAGCTTGTGTGTCAGAGCCCAGATGAGTTTCAAGGACTAGGAGGAAGTGTTGCGGTCTCTGCTGGTAATCCAGTATGTTTGATACAGAAATCGTTGAGACACAGAAGAGAGGAAATCACATCATGCTATTATTTACCTTTGCAACTAAAACTCAATCCAGAAATGGCATTTGTAAGTGAGAACAGGTTTTCAGGCCTGACAAAGTTCAGAGAAGGCGGGATATGTCTTCACTCTTACGAAGAGATGCAGTGGTTCCGGAGAGATGCCCACTCTATTGTTGAATGCTCATTCTCCTACTGTGTTGCTGAAGTCCTTTCAAAAACGCTGTGCATAAGTGTTGCCCTTAAAATGCTGCTGTTTTTTGGGGGGGTTTAATTGTGCACTGTGCTGTCCTAATGACAACAATGTGTTTAGTCTGTTTTAAGATTGAGCCAATCAGTAGAAGTTGGGGGACTAAGTAGTTTTTATATTATACTATTTAGAATAGAGCTGAATTTTTAAGAGCTTCTATTCTGTCAGTTTAGATTAAACCCATTTAAGGCTTTATCCTAATGACTTTTTTGGTTTTATGCTGACATTTTCAAGGGAGACTAAAGAAATTGGGGACCTATGTCCCACTGAACATCAATGATTTCTGAGCACTTAAATCAGTCAGGCTGCTTCCTGTTCATTTACTAAAGGGCAGTGTGGTCTGGAGGAGACTGTGGTAGGCTGGGCTTTGTGCATCCTGAATTCAAGGCTCAGCTCTGCTGCTGGTTTCTTAGGTGACTTTGGGCATTTGCTTTCCTACTTTAATTGCGATGCAACTGCAAGCAGTATAACTACTCTCCACCCTGAAAGGATACCAGGGAAGTTAGAAGAGGAATTTCTGTTTCAAGTCCCTGTTACAGTAACTAAAAATAGAAACACAGTCACACTGTTTATAAAAGATGATTTATTGTATTATTTCCGAGTCTTCTGTCTTATATGCTGATATGTTGCTTATCAAACTCTCAGGGTGTCAAAATGGCACTAAGTCAATTGGCACTAAGTTAATGATCCCTTTGTATTTAAGATGCAGAGGTTAACCAGTTCTTTACACACCTCTTTTCTTAGGCCCACTTTTTAAAATGCTGAAAGTCTTGCCAGGCAGTCCTTTGCTACGCTGGTTTAAGCCTGTCTACACAGCGCCCTGTGGCAGGGTATGGAAAACAGTTCCATCAGCAGTAGCATTTCTGTATTGCATGGTATCTCTATGGCTGGAGTGGGCAGTAGTGGTTCTGCCACAACACTTTTGCCTCATTGGAATAAATGTGGTGTATAACTCAAAACTGACATGATACTAGATTCAACACTCCCTTGTGTGCTGCTTGCTACAGAAACCTTTACCATGCCTTACCCATGATTAACCTATGGGCTGTTAGGCTTAGGAAAATCTTTGTGTTAGAACTGGGATCAGGATGCTGAATTCTGTTTATTACCCTGTCACTGCCCCTGCATTGCAACTAGGTAAATTGATTAAAGCCTGTGGTTGCTTATCTAAAAAGCAAGATGCTTCCCTTCCTAGGAGGACTATTGCGAAGATGTATTCTTTAAAGTTTGTGAAGAACTTTTGAGATCATCCAGGAGAAGGCACTATAGAAGTAGAAGCTAAATTATTTATAGGAAAGTGTTTCTAACTTAAAGAAAATCAAATTTGAAATATATGCCTAAAAAAAAAGTTATGAATACACAAACTCATTATTAATTATTAAATTTGCCTCTGAG